CAGTCCAGCACCACCATGCTGCACGTGCTGCCTGTGGGGGGCTTCTCGGACCCCTACCTGAAGTCGCAGGAGGCCAGCCCGGAGGAGCTCGGCAGGGGGGACACCCTGACCACGTACCTGGTGGTCTGCCTGGCCGTGGTCTCCGCCATCTTCCTGGTTTGCATCATCTCCCTGGTGATGGTCAGGGTCTGCAGGAAGGGCTCAGGGGAGAGCCCCCTCGCTGCCCCTCCCCAGTTCCCCCCGGCCCGGCCGGAGTTCCCTGAGAATGGCTCCGATTCCCAGAGCGGCTTCCTCCCCAGGACCTACCACTACGATGTCTGCCTGACCGGCGGGTCCCTGAGCAGCGAGTTCCGGTTCCTCCGGCCCCTCATCCCGGTTTTCTCCATGGGGGAGCCGAACCTCCCGGGGAAACATGTGGTGACTCCTGGTGCTCAGGCCATTTCTGAGCAGACGGGGAATAAAGAATCATGGGAGCAGGTGAGCAAATGGCATTTGATTAAGTCCTGCTTGGTTCAGTCTACATTATCCCAGGCTTTTACTGTTTGTTGTGTTTTTGTTGTTTGCTAATCTGTTGCGCCATATGCCTCTTTTTCACCTTACCCTCTTGCTGCTGCTTCTCTGTGGTGCCCATTTTGTGCCAAATTTTGTTTCCCTCTCTAACACCACCTGCATCCATCCCTGCTGCTTGATTCTGCTTGCCTGCCCATCTCCCTGCCTCCTGCCCAAGTCCAGTCTGTTCCTGCCAGTTCCTGCTTCCATCTGTGTTTCCCTGCTGTCTCTGCCTTCCCAGGCACCTGCACCATCCTCCCAACCTGCCCTTGCTCCAGAACATGATCGTCTTTCAGGTCCTTGACTTTTGGACTGCGCTCTTGGACTCTTTGTATTTGCCTGGACTGTCTTGTCTACTGGCTCTTGACCCTGGAATGGCCATGGAGGTGCTTCCAGTTCTCTAAACCTACCCGACGCCTACTCTGGCACCTGCTCCCTGGTCCCATGTCCCGACTATAGTCACCTGCCACCCATGCCCTGGACCGTGCAGTTTCAATCTCCCACCTGCTTTCCTGCAGAAAGTTGGAATCGTTGCATACGCTGGCAAGACTGCTCTTTTTAACTCAAGCTCTGTATCCCCCGTTAAGGTTAGCTGCCCAGCCACTGGAAACTAATCCAACTTCACTCCAGTAACAAAAGGTGTCCTCCAGAGCTGTAGCGTGCCCTAGGTCTTTTTTGTTTCTATTTGCATGATCTACCTCTCAAATCGAAACATGGTAATTTCCACCTCCCTAAACTGCATTCTCACCGTCTGCCAGATTTATTGCACGCAGATGATCCTGTGTTATTATCTTGTATGAGAGAAGGGCTGAGACATACTTGGTGCTATGGTGAATGTCTGCCTGGACAACCAGCTGGTGATCACCAATAGTAAATCAAAGATCTTAGTTTTTCAGAAAGTCTTCATGGATCACTGCCTTGTCGTGGCGAAGGGGCTTGTGTAGCTCAATGAAGCTATGAACTATGCCGTGCTGAGCCACCCAAGATGGACAGGTCATAGCAGAGAGCTCTGACAAAACGTAATGCACTGGAGAAGGAAATAGCACCCCACTCCAGTATCTTTGCCATGAAAACCCCATGTTGTTGTAAGCCGCGAAGTCATGCCTGGCCCATTGCCACCCCATGACAACACTCCTCCAGGCCTTCCTGTCCTCCACCATCTCCCAGAGTCCACTCAAGCTCACACCAACTGCTTCAGTGACTCCATCCAGCCACCTTATTCTCTGCTGTCCCCTTCTTCTTTTGCCATCTATTGTTCCCAGCATTAGGCTCTTCTCCAGGGAGTCCTTCCTTCTCATTAGATGGCCAAAGGATTTGAATTTCATCTTCGGTATCTGACCTTCTAAAGAGCTGTCAGGGTTGATCTCCTCTAGGACTGACTGGTTTGATCGCCTTGCGGTCCAAGGGACTCACAGGAGTCTCCTCCAGCACCACAATTCAAAGGCCTCAATTCTTTGGCACTCAGCCTTCCTTATGGTCCAACTCTCACAGCCCTACATTGCAACTGGGAAAACCATAGCCTTGACTATACACACTTTTGTTGGCAGGGTGATGTCTCTGCTTTTTAGTATGCTGTCTAGACTTGCCATAGCTTTCCTCTCCAGGAGCAAGCGTCTTTTAATTTCTTGGCTGCAGTCACCGTCTGCGGTGATCTTGGAGCCCAGGAAAATAAAATCTGTCACTACCTCCGTTTCGTCCCCATCTATTTGCCAGAAAGTGAGAGGACCAAATGCCATGATCTTAGTTTTCTTTATGTTGAGTTTCAAGCCAACTTTTGCACTCTCTTCCTTCTCTTGCATCAAGAGGTTCTTTAGTTCCTCTTCACTTTCTGCCATGAGAGTGGTATCATCATGGGCAGTACCAAAAGGCAAAAAGATGACTCCAGAAGATGAGCCCCTCAGGTCAGAAGGTGTCCTATGTGCTACTGGGGAAGAGCAGAGGGCTAGTACTAGTAGTGCCAGAAAGAATGGAGTGACTGGGTCAAAACCGAAAGGGCACACAGTTGTGGGTGTATCTGGTGGTGAAAGGAGAGTCCAATGCTGTAGAGATCTATACTCCACAGGAACCTGGAATGTGAGATCTATGAATCAAGGCAAGCTGGACGTGGTCAAACAAGAGATGACAAGACTGGACATCGACATCTTAGGAATCAGTGAACTAAAATGGACAGGAATGGGTGAATTTATTCAGATGACCATCAGGTATACTACTGAGGACAAGAGTCCCTCAGAAGAAATGGAGCAGCCTTCATAGTCAATAAAAGAGTAGGAAAAGCAGTACTGGGATACAATCTCCAAAATGACAGAATGATCTCAATTCGAATCCAGGACAAACCATTCAATATCACAGTTGTCTAAGTCTATGCCCCAACCACTGATGCTGAAGAGGCTGAAGTTGACCGGTTCTATGAAGGCCTACAATACCTTCTAAAATTAACACCAAAAATGATGTCCTTATCATCATGGGGGATTGGAATGCTAAAGTAGGAAGCCAAAAGATAACCAGAATAACAGGCAAGTTTGGCCTTGGAGTACAAATGAAGCAGGGCCAAGGCTGGCAGAATTTTGTCAAGCGAATACGATGGTCATAGCAAAAACTCTTTTCCAACAACCCAAGAGACAACTCTACACATGGACATCACCAGATGGTCAACCCAGAAATCAGATTGACTATGTGCTCTGCAGCCAAAGGTGGGGAAGCTCTATACAGTCAGTAAAAACAAGAGTAGGAACTGACTGTGGCTCAGATCATGAGCTTCTTGTTGCAAAATTCAGGCTTAAATTAAAGAAAGTAGGGAAAAGCACTAGGCCACTCAGGTATGACCTAAATCATATCCCTGATGAATATACAGTAGAGGTGACAAATAGATGTAAGGAATTAGATCTGATAGAGTGCCTGAAGAACAATGAATGGAAGTTTTCAACATTGTGCAAGAGGAAGCAACTAAAACCATCCCAAAGAAAAAGAAATTTAAGAAAGCAAAATGGCTGTCTGAGGAAGCTTTACAAATAGCTGAGGAAAGAAGGGAAGCGAAAGGCAAGGGAGAAAGATACACCCAATTGAATGCAGAATTCCAGAGAATAGCTAGAAGAGATAAGAATGTCTTCTTCAATAAACAGGGTGAAGAAATAGAAGAAAACAGTAGAATAGGGAGGACCAGAGATCACTTCAAGAAAATTGGAGATCTGAAGGGAACGTTTCATGCAAAGATGGGCATGATAAAGGACTAAAAAGGCAGGAACCTAACAGAGGCAGAGGAGATTAAGGTGGCAAGATTACACAGAACTATACAAGAAAGAGCTAAATGTCCCTGATAACCACGATGGGGTGGTCACTGACCTTGAGCCAGACATCCTGGAATGTGAAGTCAAATGGGCCTTAGGAAGTCTGAGCAACAACAAAGCTAGTGGAGGTGACAGTATTCCAGCTGAGCTATTCAAAATCCTAAAAGATGATGCAGTAAAAGTGCTACACTCAATA